TGGTGTCTATAAGTGCTTCAAACGGTTATATTTAGGTATCTGGCGCCCACAGCTGAAAACTGGGTTATCAACCAATCTTTAGCTCACACCTGAAGCCAAGTTTGCCATGGTCCCTGAGACTTGGTTAGTGTAATTTATAGCTCCTAAAGTTATGCCATCTTTTCCATCGTTTACGGCAAACGCGACACCTCGCGCGACAGGAATCGAGTAGGCGGTTAACATTTATCGAGTTGCCAGATGTATTCCTCCTATTTCGGATATTTCATACATATTCGTACTTATATTGGATATCTATTACAACGCACAGCCCATCATAAAATAACAAAAGCCATTTAGGTAATTATATTTAAAAATACTGTGTACCGTTGAAAAAAATAACCAGTACAGTAAAACAACTAGCCGTCAAAAGCAGCTATTGCCACTGCACCACAGAAGTGGGTGGAGCTTAGCGGCCTGTCTCGTCTCCGATCACGAGACACCTTTAGATGTCGCGTCGCGTCGCGCGAAACCTAATAGTCACCGGAAAAGATAGCATTAATCTTGTTTCGCGATGCGATGGACGGAGGATGCTATGTGAATATTCACACTGGAAGAGATGCCGCCGAACTAGTATCACATCACTCCGTGGCTGCAGCCAACAGAGACAGTATACTCTGTGGTTTCTTGAGGAGGAATAACTGCAAATACTAACTCTAGCACTGAATATACAAAAAGGGAAAGGAAATGGGTCCACGAGATCTATTTGGCAAGGAAGAAGTTTGTTGAATATCATCATCTAAAGCAAGAGCTGGGAGGTATTTAAAGAAAAATTCAAACAATATTCCAAAGTATCTCACGAGGAATTGCAATATAAAACGACTCTCACTGCCCGAGACGAACTGTCAACTCACTGGGGCGGGGGTAGGGGGCAGGGGAATTCCCTGAAAAGTCAAGTGTGCATGCATCAAAGGAGCTTTGTTTTAAAACATCGCCGGCCCTACGACTGATCAAGCCATGTACGCGTAGCTTCCCAACCAGTGTGAACACATCACGTGCATAGCCTTACTTCGCTCTCGGTGTGAATCAGCCTAATTCATTGCCAGAGATTGTTTAATATGTATTTTTGTTGCTGTGTAGAATGGCCGCAAATGGAATAGTACCCAATATAGCAATTTAATAGCTTCGTATCAATATCATCTATGTGGTCTTCAGATTTATACTTAGTATTCTGCCTACATGAAAATGATCACAACAATTTACACAGCGATACCTGTGTTGTTGCTTTCCACTAACTCGATTTAACGCGGTGGCACATACAGGCCTATAGACTGGAGTGATGAAAGGTTTTTATGAGGGGTAGGTGATATGCCAGCAACAGTTACATTACACTATGATATGCTGCGAATTGTACTACAAATCCTAACTGCTTGACAATTATCTACTAATAATTTAAAATGCCAAATGTATTGTTAACGGCATTACATGTCAAAATATATTTAATTATTTGTATAAAGGAAATTTTTCTTTTTATCCCAAGTCTGACTTCATTAGCCCACAGCTTGATTTCAAATAGGTCTGAATACAGCACAGGCAATGCAATATTCCGAAAAAGTAGGGAGTTTATTCATTTAGGGTATAGAACATTTAATATTTTGATATCCACCTGTGAAATGTACATAGAGGAGATTCTTATGGTAAGTGTGCAAAAAGAATAACATAACTATGAAGGTCCATTGCCTGTGCATTTTGAAGGGCACATCTTTAAATTGAGGCTTATGAACAGAAGCATTTATGGCATAAATGCGGTATCATCATCTGATCACTTCTTATACCAAACCACATAGTAACGCAGGTATGGAAAGGAAAGCAGGAAAAATACATCCTATAACACCAATTTTTTTTTAATGCATTCTCAGACCTCAATGCTAGATTTTATGTTATCGAATGGCACTTCTGTTACCTGCATTGGAATTGCGAGAGTAGAACTGCTAACACTAGGGAACAAACTAAATCTGGATGAATTACAAAGAGAATAGGGCCCTCTCCAAATCTAGTGATCCTCACCCTACCCCTTCTAGTCAATACAGAGGTGGGCTACGTGGCCAGGACGCCCACTAGCCTGCCTCATGCACCCACATCCCACAAGCCTTCCTCCCATTTGGCAAATTTCCTCTTGCAGGTGGGAGGGCCCAGTTTCACTCAGCAGGGCTGGGCTGAACCACAGACGAGTTGGTACTTTCTGAGTGCGGCCGCCAGATATAACCATGCTTGAAAACAGGACCCATAGCTAGGCCCCTCCATGCTTTCTTGGTCATAAAAGCAAAATATCAGCCAGTTCATGCAAGATTAAGGAAGGTGAGTACATGTCAGTGGCCAGGTGGGAAACCTTAGGCTCCATTCCCGGGGCATTTAGAAGTAGAGCTCAGGGTATAGTTTAGTTAATGCTTTATAAACCTGGGATAGGAAAAGAAATATAGCACCCTATGGGAATGGACCTTCTTGCTGGCGATCATTGTAGAAAGAAAATCAGGGAAGCTCTAAAGCTCTGGAATTCAGAGGAAATCCCAGGATAAACTGGAAAGGGTCAGCAATCTCTGTCAGGTGGATCAGAAAATGTTACATAACCGACCATTGTGGATGAGCCACGATGTAACCTGCAGAGCTGTACGAGTTGTAATCTGAATCATGTCGGGGTTCTGTAAGAGCCTCTAGATTTTACCGATTGGCTACTATTGCGTTGGTGATTGATGTCATTCACCTCCATCCCTGCTAGGGAGGCACTTATCGACTGGCACCGAGGCTCCATACATGAAGTCGTAAGGACCGTATGGTGTGAAGGTCAGTCCTTGCAGCATCATGTCATGTAGAGAGATATAATAATAAATTTTATTCTATTTGTTACAATGTTTATTCTTGCTGTGGCATGCTGTCTGTTTACTTTGCTTCGAAATTCACCCAT